AAATAGTTTGATAACTATTGCACTTATGCAACTATCCATTATATTATAATAACTTTTAGCTTAAAAGTTTTGAATATTTTAAGATTGACATTGACATAAGCATTTTAATATATTTTTTTTTAATGTTTGCTTATAAAGACATAAATATAATTAAATGAAGCCGTAAGTAAGTATTAACTTTCACGGCTTAGAATGATCATTTCAATTAAATCTCCGAAACTCAATAGATATATATGATAATAATACAAATGCATTTGGAGTTATGATCATCACGCGTCTACTATATAGCTCTCTGCAGAGACCATGGTCTCTATAAGCACAGTTTTTTTGATCGGAAGCTAACGAATATCGAGGATGACTTAGGGTTATTAACGATATTCTTGCCTCGGCACTCACCGGGAGGTTGTGTAACACGCATATAGTTGTACAATAAATAGCAAACGTGTGTGTATAAAAAATAAGAAACCGAAGGGAAAAATAGAAACAAAATAGAAACAAAAATATCAATAAACTCTGCTGCAAAGGTTTACCTTAATTCAAAATCGTGTAATATGCGAAACATTTCTTACTACCCCACCGTAGCCACGAATAACAATAAACTTCCTCGTCACACCAATGACTTAATCTAGTTTTATTATGTATGTATATTGTAGCGTAGGTACTACAGTGAATATATATATATATATATATATATATTATGTAAACCAAGTGTACGCATGGATTAAAATCAAGATTTATAGTGCCTCCTGTAGTTAGAGCCGTTGTCTTTGCTGTATGACCGAATTGCCTACTATTTTCCTATGCCTTTTGAATACAACGCATTTAGAATAATATACCTATCAATAATAGTGAAGTAATATAATAATCATAGTAGCCCTCAGAGTACGCTATAACTGTAGTTAGCCCACTGTTCAATTTCTGTCAAATATGTATAACACTGCAGCAGAATGATATTGTCATATTCGAGGAGAAAAAACCTATATTAATTAGTCGAAAATGAACAGGTGGTCATTTACCCATAATTTGATATGGTTGTTATACATTTATAATATTAGGAACTAAAAGTCGATTAGGGAGTTTATTCTAACGTTTAAAGGTTTAAAGGCTAATACGGTTGTAACAACTTTTCTCCAAAAATGAGATACAATATTCTGTGTACTTTTTTCCTTTGTCATTGTATATAATCATAAGAACCATCATTAGAACGTTTGATAACTGATAAAAAATTTGACTGAAGTATTTATTAATTAAGTTTAATCAGAGTTACGATTGCTAGAGCTTTATTCTTTCTTAAGAATACAGTACACAACGCAAGTCTCTACAATAGTGTTAAGATCGTCGGTGCATAAATTAATATTGGTAATTTATCAATAGATTAATTTTATTATTTGAAGGAAAAAGTCGCAATTCTAGTTTAAAAAAGTGTTTGTAGAAAAATGAAAACTAATCTTTTTTTGTGGAGGAAATGAATAATTTTTGGAGAAAAATGGTCCCGCAATAAAAGTAAACAAATTAGGTATATTTAACGGTAGATGAAAAAACAATGGAAAAAACTAAAKATAAAAGAAAATAATATTAAAACAATATGGCACAATCCAGGTTTTTGTAATCTATGTTTGAAGAAAAGAAGAAACAATAATGAACAATCTATCATGAACAGTATTCTACACGTTTTCATAAGTATTATGAAACATCCACATGAGTTTTATACGTATTAAGTAAAATACACTATCCAGTATCGAAACATTATTACAAAATTCTATAAACATAAGGATACGATAAAAAACATTATCATATTTCAGCTAAATCGTCAGACGCTATTGGTTTGGGCTGGTTTCAACAGTAATACTTTGAAGTTCTATATTTATAATTTAATATTATTTTTAACACATGAAAAATTCTTTAAAAATACATTAAATTTTTTTCTTAGCTACTGTGTACAGAAACTTTTGCATTTTTTAGATCGATTTATGAATAAAAACATTATTGTAATATCGCTGTCTTACATTATGCATGTGCTGCTAGTTGCTACTTTTTTGTATTCATCGTCACAAGTATTACTCGTTTTCAGGATTTGAATAATTATGGAATTTAGAGTTTTAAATTAAAGAAAAGTGTGTTTTCGCACAATTTTCATGGTTTTATGAAATACTAAAATCCATAATACTTTTGAATTTCCAATACCTACTCTGTTTAGTTAAAACCTAGGTGAAACTAATTGAAAATATCGAAGATGATTTGATGTAATGTGATTAGAATGTTTTTTTCTTAAAATTTTACCAAAAAAAGTTAAATCCAACCATGTTAATTGGAAAACATTTAAAACAATGTGATCACAGGTACATACATTATTAAAATACGTATTACACTCAAGGATAGTATTGTTATATTAGGTACATTATATTTTTGTTCTGCGAATAACACATAGCGCGTGTTTAATTCATCCTCATTGTAATAATTAAAGTTCTTTATTCAATAGAGAAATACACTGATTGGATGTAATGTATTTATYCACTAAATTATATAATAATAATATAACATAATATTTCATTACTCAATCAATTGATAAACAAATTGTTAGAAATAATACTATTCATACTCTATTATACCTAGGTATCATACGTATTATTTTTCTCCCTACATAATTTTATTATTATTATTATTGTAAGGCATACATGTGTAGGCGTTGTGTGTACATAAGTTATATATTTACTATAATGTATTCAAGTTTTAAATAAAATTTATGTTTGTGTACACGCCACTGTTTTGCAATTGAAAATATTACGAACAATTTTATCSTAAGTATAATAAAATAAGCGCATAGCCTTTATAATTTTTCAAGCGTTTCGTTTGGAAAAAAAAACATTTTATGATCAGTGTGCTTGGAAATACGAAAATGATTAAAAGCTCTTGGAAATCCTTTTGCGGGCCATTAAGCCTCAACTTTTATAATGCGTTTTTGTGACGACGATCATTATTTAGCCTCACATTAATGGGCTCTAATATAGRAAACTTATCGTTTTTTGAGCAGAGTATCTATAATTTGTGATGAGAATTAATCACACAGATTTAATTTTTAGTTTTAAAATATTTTTTGAAAAAAATAATATWTTCAATAAAAATGAAAGGTTTTGCTCGTTTTTCAGGACGAGAATAAATAACTTATTTTTTGTATTATTCAATAAGTATTAAGTATATAGTACAACATGATTTTAGTTTTAACGTTTAAATGTTTATAATTTTAGTTTTTTTATTTTGCATTAAATGTTGTTTATGTATGTAAGTGTTGAGTGCTTATTTACGATACGTTCATTAATGTATTTTTGTGTTATGACCATAATTATTAATTTTTAATAAAAATACTTTCATAAATAGAGGATTGCTTAAATTCACGTCCTTTGACTCCTATGCACAGGGTGATCTGAGTAGCACTAATTTAAACCAACAAGAGAGAATTTAAAGTGCACCCTGTTCGTAATGTCCATCATTGTTTAAGGATGATTATTTTGGATGACATGTATGAATTATTACACCTTGAATTATTATTTAAATTTGTATCAATGTAATTTTACAAATGCTGGGTTTTATGTTTGACACTATAATAATATGTTGATAACGTAATATTGAGATAAAGGCGAATACAGGTCGAATCCACCGCACTGATGTCGCGTTATCTTCAGTTTACGGTTTGTCGTCGTTGTTAACTCATTATTAACAAGGGGCAAGTCGTCCAGCTATTTAATTGTAAAATCGTAAAATTAAATTTTATAAATCATAGAATAAAAAATAATAAAAATAATAAGGCACTCTGCACTCAGTGTTCAAATTATTAAAAAACCAAAATATTAACATTCTACCGAGTGTTGATTCGTAAGAAACTATTATTTTGATAAATTTAAACAAATCAGAAGATAAGACTCAGATAGAAGAATACTTTTTTATTCACCAAGACAGTCACTATTTTAGTACTATGCACTTTTAGTTAACTTTAATTGGATCATTAAATGTGCCGAAGAGCATAAACGTAATATTAAGAAAAATAAAAGTGGAAAAAACTCTGATTATAGGTTGCTATTAAAATTATAATTAACCTAATTAAGTGGGTATTTATACATGTCGAAGCAATTATAAAACTTTTTGAATCATTTTACACGTGGATACTAAAAATATTAAAATAGGTAGGTACATTGTTTTTGAAATTTGTTAATTATATTTTTCATTTATATTATACATTTTTTGAGTACATAAGTTATATATGCACTAATGTAGTTAAAATTTAGTACTTACATATAAGTTTCGGTCCAAAGTCCAGTTATAAGATTTTAATTTATAAAGTAGGTAGGTACATTATATAATGTAGTGTATATTTCTATAACAATGTATATTATACAGTAGTATAGGTTCTGTGATTCCAATGTGTTCAATTTTATCAACAGTTACATAATGTTAGATTTAAGTTAATATACTCRTAGTGGAGTATTTTAGGGAGCTTTATTTACATAACTTCCTGTTAAGTGGGGCTTACAACTTGGGAATTAGTGTGTGATATGTATTTATAATGATTTCTATTATCATAATTTTCAAGTTACCTACTATAAAATAAAATAAAAATCAACATTTATCTGTTAAAAAAAAATAATCAAGAAGCTGTTTAATGTAGTTGAGCTTAAAAAACACACCATTGACTACATACCTGACCGTATAAAGTATATATTTTTACACACAATAATTGATTATATTCTGTACCTACTATAGAATTATACTTATCTTACCTTGGAATTCTTTTCGGCCAGCGCTCACGCTCACCACTATGCTTGCCACGTGGCCGAGCACGGTCGCAAACAATAGAAGACCAAATAGCAATTGGCATATGACGAATGCGTACTCGCCATTGCTCCTCGGTTTGGGCAAATCACCGATGGTGGTTAACGCCAGCGTGCACCAGTAATAGCTTTGCAGGTACCGTTTGACCGTGTCCGTCTCCTCGGTATCCGAGTCCGTGTATACCCAGTTTTTGCTACCAAACCCGTTGTTCTTGTAAATTATGTGGTAAAGACACCCGTTCCAATGAAATATCACCAACAGGTAGTGGATGAGACTGCCGGATCGGATGAGGTTTGGGTAATTGGTGTGTCGTTCGGTTCGGTCCATGAACGCCCAGAACCGGTAGATCTTCACTATCCGAAATGATCGGAGGATGGAATTGAATCCAATGGACAGGTAGAGGAAGTCTAACGGCAGTAGGCACAGACAGTCTATGTAGAACGTAGTCGAGTTCATGTAGTGGTTGCGCAGTTTGGCAGCATCCGTCTGCAGCACGCCATCCTCCAGGTAACCCGTGCGAAAGTGAAATAGTATGTCGATCACGTAAAGCAAATCACATATATAGTCCAAACAAAACCAAACTACGATCGTGTTACCTGTGACAGACATATTTTATAAGATCATTTTTATTATCATGATTGTTTTGAATTTATATTTTTTATCCATAGTGAAATTTGTCAAAAAAAAAAAAAAATTGCAAGTTGAAAGTTCCGAGGTGGAGATGCTGTCGTCTTCGTAGCACCCCCACCTTAGAATTTGGAATAATTTGAAAACCATTGAGGTACAACCAACTTTATGTGAGGTACAAACAGGTACAATCAATGAGTTACAAACGATTGGTATTGGTTCCGAATCAGAATTTGAATGTGGTGGTGCTGGGGAAATGGGTTACCTCAAATAGTCYCTCTTTATAAATTCAYCACGTTACGTTTATAAACTCCTGTTAAACATGTCATGTTCATAATGTATTTCAAATTTAWCTATGAAATGRAAATCAAGGGATCAAAACGTTACGGCAAAACTACACAAGAAGAACATGTCTACGTATAATGACATTTTTATCAAACGTACTCGTATTTTACGGTTCAATAGAATACAAAGCCACCGGAAATAATTCGCTATTGAAAATAATACATGGTTTGATCTTTTTACTTTTATAAATGTTGAATTCAATGTCAAATCAGAATTAAAGTTATGCTATTAAAGTTTAGAGAAGATCGTTATTATTCCACCTTTTTTGTTAAACTTTTGATTTATTCTTGTAAGGTTACATACTACGGTTAGTTAAAAAAAAAAAAWASATGTCAAGAAAGAAAATGGCTTCCAAATTGATATTTAATCTATTGCATGTTATAATGTTTTATTATACACGTACCAAAATTTAATTTAATTTATAAAAATTAAACAAAACGGAAAAGTTAAATTTTTAAGTAACATATTAGGTAGGTATTAAATTTTGTAGTGACRTCGGTTAAATACGAAAAAGTTAGTAAAATTAAATACATATTGTGTATATAATATAAATATGTATTCATTTTTAGTGTGATAGGTATTTAATCTTATCCAAATAATTAATATTTCTTAAAAACAAGTGAGGGTTATGTGTTTGCGTTATTGCATGTTTGGATTTCAAATGTTGGAACCAGACATCTTATTTATTATTTGATTGACATAAAATTTATGGWCATAAATTACTGCAGCATATAATCAGTTTCCCGCTAAGATATTATTTTACTTACGTAAATATGAAGAAGGTAAGCTACTCTCAAAGAAAGTTTTTAAGTTTTATAGATAAGATAATCATGGTTTTTTTTTAGTTTATCAAATTTAAACCTTACTTGGTCTTAAATTAAATCTAGTATTGTATGGGAAAACTATTATAAAATGGATTTTGTATTAAAAATAAGCGTCAGAAGTGTTTCAATAAAATGCACTCATGTGTAATATATTGAAATGGCTGCAAATATTCTACATCTGTTACCAATCTACATATCGTACATCCGAACTTAGATTCAATTTATTTTTCGAACACGATTTGATCGGGTGTCCAATACGGTTTAATGTTAAATATTTTTCCTTGGCTAAACTTGTTTAATATATAAGTGACATTTTTTGAATTGAGTTATAGGTACCTCAACCTTGACACCTACGGGAATTCCTTATTCAAATTTAATATGGAAATTGCGACTTACGGTTGATTTCACTGAACGCGAACCGATATATGATCACCCAGAAATTGTAGAGGAACGCCAAAGACACGACCATGTTCCAGTAGTAGCAGAGCTGACCAGCGGGATCAAACACAAACGACCACCGTATGCCCTTGACTCGGTCGGACGTCCGGTCTCTGTACTGCCGGGGACCACCGTTCTTCTGCCGGCCGCCGTCGAAACAGATGGAACCGCGGGCGTTGTTATACGACGCCCTACCAGTCGTGGCGCTGCCTCCACCAGTGCCGTTAGCTCCACCACCACCACTTGACGCCACCACTGTACCGGAAGCATTTCCGCTTCCGGTGTTACTCCCATTGACGCCTCCTCCACCACCGTCACTCACCCCTGCGCCGGTACCATCAAAGTTGACACGGCTCGGACGGTGCTGTCCGGAGGACGATTTGCCACCCGCCTTAGCCGCTATGTCCGAATCTGAGCTGGCTATGCCACCCGGCAGACAACTGCTAGTCTGGTTTGTGTAAACCGGCGTCAACGAGTCTCGAGAGTGTGAGAAACAGGTCTGCGTACAAACAACGAGTCAATAATTACAACAAATCTGATATTAACTCATCTTTAATCGTGACGTGAAAAGGGACAGAAAAGTGACTGTTTGGACGTACGGTCGTTTAGATGCAACTGTTAAGATGTCAAAAAATAACATACTGACCCTCCCATTGAAGTTAAAAATAAAAATACAATGCAAATAATTAGCATGAATTTGTACAGTCATTTTTAGAATTTTAGCGATCTGAGTTTACCAGTAAGTTCTTARAGTATACTCTGTTAACGTTACGAGAAATATTTCAAAAATGTTGATTAATCTAAAAATCAACACATTTTGCACGATTGCCACAGATGTTGAAGACGTATCATAAGTTTCCTAGTAAAACGCGTTTTCCCGTTTCATCTGTTACTTGCAGATCCTTTTCATATTATATTGAGAAATTTAAATGTTTAAAATTTATTTATTTTTTTACTAGATATTAGCTAGTGATTGATATGARTTATATTCTATCATGTTTTAGGTTTTAATGGAAAATCTGTTTACTCGTTCCTGTTAACCACAGTCCCCAATTTAAAGTAATATCGGACGCAATATAGAAATACTGTTTGAGGAGAAATATCAATTATGTTAAGACGAGGTTATATTTTTATGCAAACGGTTCATTACAAGTGTAATACATAAGAATACATTTTATCAAACATAATTCTGTTTTATCTGTCTATCAATCTTTATAATATTGATGTATATAAATTTATTTGTTCATGTTTGTTAGCTGGAAATAACTATTTCATAATACCCTTTAGAAGATTGCAAATTCACTTTTGCTACCTGAACAAAGTTATCAAAGACAAACCAATTTACCTTTTTGATGAATAAAAAAAAATTGATACCTAAGGCATGCAAATTTCTCAAAACGCATCAACCTCGATGTCAGTATTCATACTAATTTTGCTTATACAAAGAGAACAGCAAARGGTAAGTAGTTTTTTCGTGTACTTAGTCATAATTTAATAAAATTGTTTTTTAAATCTACGTTTAATAATGAAGACTGTAATCATACATTTTATAGTTCCATCAGACAAAAATAAGGGGATAACATTGTTTCTGAAATGGTYACCAAATATATGAGGAAGCGTTTAATATTTTTTTGGTATTAGGATTTTACTTTACAGAAAGAGCATTTTTATATATTATCCAAAAGTATTACAATGGATAAATAATTGAATTCCAGTACAGTGGTTCAAATTTCCCGCAATAACCTTTCATTATTAAACAGTGATAATTAGTGGATTCAATGTTTGAAATGAGATATGTGTAAATTAATCCTTATGGAATAAAGGTTAYATACAATATTATTATACGTAGAAATGTWATTAGGTTATTCACATGTTTGAACTTTCGATACATACACAATATTTCTTTCAAAAATAATTTAATGATATCTACTGTTATTTAGTTTCGTAAATTCATTTATTTCGCTTTAATAATAAATAATTATTATTCAGTTATAACTATTAATCGAAAGATAATAATAGCACTTAAAACGTTAATATTTTAGTTATCCTATTTAAATTATACGGATGGGTATAATATAATAATTATAAACATATTATAATTAATTTTAAAAGCAAATTTTTTCCAAAAATACGAATTGCTATATTATCGAAGCTATATTAATATGTTTACGTATTTATATCGGTATACGGTTATAATCTAATAAACCGATGAAAATAAATTCTTTTACTACAAAAAAAAAATTAAAAAAAAAATTAAATAAATAGGTTCGTGGTATACATATACGCTGAATTCACGTCAGAGATGATTCGCATTTGATATTTTTGCTAAGTAATTTATCTTTCCCAATACAAATATCCCGAGATAGAAATAATTGTATTGAACAAATAAATAATAACGCATCTATATTTTTATTTGAGTGGTCAACAAGAATAGCAGTGGTTAATGGTGTCCAGAGAGTGAGTTCACAGGAAGAATTCATTTTAACTCCCCTACACAACTCATCCTAGAAGTTATCCGGGCACGTACATACAGCATCGTGTTTAGTTGTGGTGGAAAACGTGTCTAGTAACTCATAAAATACGTCTATTGTTCTCTTTTTCYTCCATAAAATGTAGATTTCTGGATTAGATCCGATTTAATGACAAACACTATAGTCTCTGGTCCAGTGAGACTGGACTGTGAATAAAACAATATTGTTTTAAGTAAGTAAAAATAAACATTGACTGTTTATTAATGTACAATTGCACAATTTTTAATTCTGTAAAATAAAGGAGAAGTATTGGTTTAGGAGAAGTATTGGCAACATAGTTCCTTCTCCGGTCTTCGATACCATAAGAAAAAAAAAAAAAAATTCTGTAAAATAAGATCAAATGTATTCAAACTTCAAACGTTTTAAACACGATATACTAAAAATTCTGAGATTAATGAAACAKCCATTATTAGATAACATTGATGTGTACCTATTCTGTARTTAATCCGATATTCAAATAAATAATGACGTCTTGTAATTAACTAATATTGTAATAAATAATTTAAACCGTATTGTTGTCAAACTCTTTATTTTCGTTCTGAATAATACTTTTCATATTCTTACATTTTGTTTTAAAATTTTACAATACATTTAATATGTTGAAATTAATTTGGAAATTTTCATGTAAGCTATTAGACGCGTTACCAAATTTATWTAAAAAAATCCTATTAAAAACATAAATACATTATTTCATTAATCATATTAATGTTTTTATTTATTTATAAATTATTATAAAACTTAAAATATAAATACGATGAATTTTATATCTAGTAATGGCAATTCAAATAATAATCACCGTTAAAAATCATTCAGTCAAAAATGTCGAACTGTTTTAATATAAAATTTGTATTTTATAACCATTGATTAGAAGATATTAATAATATGTAATAATTTTCTGACATAAAAAATTTAGATTAAAAATGTAATTATTTATTTATTTTCAAACTTTTGATGAAATGGTTTTTTGACAAACTTTGACTGTCGATTTAAAAAAAATATATTTTTGTGGTACCTAGTCGTTATAAAAATAATTTTAATACTGAAGAATTATGTTTATTTATATTGTTATTCGGTATTTTTACGACTTATAAATATTAAATAACTATTAAAATCATAAAAAATAAAYGAGTTTAAATGACTGCGTTTAATACATTGTACCTACATAAATATTTTGAAAAGTAATTAAACTTACCTGAGGTGGTTTTCGACTAACGCCGAATCTACATCCTACTAAGTCGAGTAAGCTTTGTCGGCCAGCAGAAAGCCTAAGTGATTCGACACTGGATTTAGTACCGAATCTTGCTGGACTCCCAGTATCTAATCTTGTGCCAGATATGCTAAGTCGTTCRCCAATCCGCCCTGTACTAGTAATTGTTCCTGAAAAAAATGAAAATCAGTGTTTAAAAACGACATAAAAAAATATCGATAATTATAGAGTTGGATGTGGTATAATAGTAAGTCACATTATGTTGTAACAAAATATATTAATATAATATYAACAAAAAAAATTATTAAATATCATTACATTCAAATAACTAATTCATAAAAACTATTCATTAAAAAAATATCTGAGAAATTAAATCTTTAAGAATCAGTATCCTTAATAAACTATTTTGTACGTTGTACTCATTTTTAAAACCACATTGTAAAAAAAAAAACAACTAGGTTTTTAAATATACACTATATTATACTATACATTATATTATTAGGAATATTATTTTGTATGCATTTTTAGATACTTTAAAATTATTTATCAATTTATATTTTGTATGAAAAAAAAAAAATGAAATTCATTGGGAAAATTGTATTCATTCCGAAGAAAGATGGAAAGGATTCATATTTATTGCCAGTCGTTTTGGCGGTCTGGCAAAACAAACGGATATGGTTTATAACCGTAACGTTTTGGACCCTTCCGGCCGAACGTTATTATTTGCGCTTTTTCCTATTTATCATGCTTTTTTTAAACTTTGATCCTATGTTGTTTTTCCCTTCATCCAAGTTTGTAATGTGATTTTTTCTTAGTGAGGGCGGTGGGAAAAGAATCGTATAACAAGTAATATAAAAGAGGAAATTGATCCAAAACAAAAATGAAAAATGCATGTSGTTTTTTTTTAAATAAGACTTTACTGAGTTCATTATAATATGTAGTATATAATAACTATACTATTTTAAAATACCAGGAACTCACATCGTTCGGTAGCTACTTAGAATTTTTTGAGTATACGTATTTGGTCATTTATAAGGTCACTGTAATGTACGCGATAAACTGTAATTCAATGAAAAATCTTTGTATACAAACAAATGATACTGAACGATGTTGATGTTTGGACATGTCAAGAGCGGATCCAGGGAAGCACTGGTGGCAAATGCTCCCCGTCTCACCCCTCCATCCCGATCACAAAAAAACATAATATGATTGTCCATTAATATTTAGGATGCTTTTTTTTTATGATTAAAATGTTTTGATTAAGGTTCAATAAAATAATTAACATATAGTAGGTACATAATAATAAATAACTAATACTATTGTACACTTTTTTGTTAAAATTGCAAGTTTCAATAAAAATAATCGATTATTTACATAAAAATGACTAAACTGGCAGAAGAATTCAGCAAGAATTCTTGCTGATTTAAATTTTTGTAGTTACTAAGAGCATTGCGAATATATTGGTATTTTTTTTATTATTTATTTTTTGAATGATGGCGTAATGTTTTGTAAGTGTCACGAAAGTATTGTCAAGTTATGCATATATATTCTTGTCAATTTACATTACTGGTCTTTTAAAATAATGATTTAATTTAGAAAACATGGTTAAATGTTTTCACAATTTTTTAAGGCATAAAAAATATGTACCATTATATTCACAATGAAATGCTCAATGAGTAACCATTATACGCTTATATTACTGTAATCATYGTTTTTAAAATGTTGTGGGTTTAATTTGGGACATAAATGTTAATTTGAATTGGAATAATATAACTATAGAAACAATGAACGCTTTATCAAAAATGTAAGTCACTGCAGCCATTTATTAATTTGCATCAAGAGAAAATAGGAAGAAGTCTTCTTAGCTTATTTTTCTGTGGCAAGTTGGAATTACTGAGATTGATAGTCGGCCCGAGCATATCTTTGCGTTTTAGCCTTTAGGACATTTACAAACTGCCAAAAGAATTATGCAGAAAATGCAAGAGATATCCAAGTCCCTATATCGCAACCCTCTGCCAACAAAATCCTTACATATAAAGAGAAAATCCGTTACGGTTAACAAAATGAGAAACCGTTGCCAAGACGATGTACTGCATAAGATAACATGCCTTAAATGTGTTTAAGTATATAGCAATAAGAATACATTTTAATGAGTATTAGCAAAGACACRCTCATTTAGTTAAGTATCACTGAAGATTATATCTAACAACAAATATCATAGATAAGCATTTAATTTCATATATTTATGCATTATTAAACACGTGATAATTTAAATACAGTTTTAAAAAGTTGATAAAATAAATATTTTAARATTTTTCAGTAGACAAAAATATCTTTTTATTTTAAATTCTATTTTAATTTCAGAAAACAATAGTCAAGTATAAATTGAATGATTAGTAAGTTTTATGTCAAAATATCATACAATTTGTAAAGTGAATTGTAAATTGTCAATTAAACATAGATTTTTTTTAATGAATGATTTTGTTGTTTTTGAGTATATTATAAGACCAGTCAAGAAATGTAAGCAAGTTTTAAATTTATTTTAACTAATTAAGTTTAAACAGAGTTAGTTCGAAATTATTATTTTTTTTTAAATGTCATTTATGCTTATTATGACAATAAATTAATTTTATTTATAAGGAGTCATAGGTAAAAAGTGTAAAAATATTTAAATAAATATCAATAATAAAAAAACAAATAAATAAACTAAATCAAAAAGACACAAGAAACTTAATTTAATTAAAAAAATAACAGAATTGTACAATATAATTTAATTTAATTTWAAAAAAAATGTTAATAGCGCCGAATCAAAAACCTTATACTAATGACCTAGTTATTGTCGATGTATTTTTGTTAAATAAAAAAAAAAAAAAAAGTAAACAGTAAAAATATATGAAAAGTTAATATACCTATAATATATACTTATCATAGGCGTGCGAATGGGGTATGCCACTGCATATAGTCTGCGGCTTCATACGATAGGGGCCCGTGTTTATCATACCAAAGAATTTTTAATTATATCTTATATAGTATTTAAAAAAATGTTTTTAGTTTTAAATTTTTTCACGACCAGCAAGATAATCCACACTATAGACATAGCAACTTTATAAATATGTTAAAATTATTCAGACATTCCATACATTATATATATGTACTTAATCTTTAACAAATAATACATTTTCTTTTAATAAATATAATT